TATAAGTTCTTATTTATTAATGAGATGCTCTCGGATTGTCTCTATGTTCTATCATATCATCGATAATCAGTTACACTTTAATGTATTTTGCACTAGTTATACCTCTTATTTCTCCATCATTTCCTGAATTTGCTGAAAATTGCTGAATAACTTTGTTTTAAATGGTGGTGATTTGAGTGCACATTCTTGATTGTTCTTAATGTTAATTGGCAAGGCTTCTGCGTGGGTTAAAGTTTTAATACCTTATTTCCCATCATCTAAATTATTCAAGACTGGACTAATAAGTTAAAAGTAAGAAATTAACAAGAGAAAAGTCAAAGTTTAATAACTATCTATGGAGAATTCACATAGGTTCTGAGAAAATTCCAAAGACAGTTAAGCAACCCGGGTATATACCACAATTTTCCACAACAGCAGAAGTGGGGGAACAGGGTCTTATATTTCAGAGTGAGAATGAGTGATTTACAATTTGCTGAGGAAGAACAAACCCACCTGGCAGGCAAACCCATGGTAGGCCACTAGGAAGCAGTGGGACACAGAGGGTACCTGGCTAGCAGGCACCTGCCTGAAGCCCTGTTGTCTACCATACTTAATTCAAATTAGGCTAAGGGGACACCCTAAACTCTCCACCCTGAGACAGGTTTCTCTGTCTGAATCTCCTGGACAGGAAAGAGGGGTGAGGGTCAACGTTTCTTTCTGAGAAACGGCTCAATAAACAGCTTGAAATTAATATCCCCCAAAGCAGCTTTGGGGTGGTAGAATTTTTGTCCTTTCACTAGCAAAAGCCTTTTCAGCCAGTGTCATCCAAATCACGGTGTAGCTGAAGCTAGAAACACTGCCCTTTCCCCAGAGTGTACTGTTTTCATATTTTGTATTTTATTTTATTTTTTGGTTCATTGTTGTTGTTGTTTTGTTTGTTATCCTCAGAGGCCTACAGTTCAATTTCAGGGGCTTGGGTTGCTAACATGTCTGGATACAGCTGACAGAAGTCCAAAGTGAGAGTACAGCCACCTTAATAGGTGAAAGGTGACATTTAAATGTCATGATTTCAGTGTGCTTTATGTATAATATCAAATAAAGAACATTTAAAACTTTTAAAAGATCATGAAAGAATCTTGAGGCATGGGACCCCAATTTCTATTGTCACTGAAGCCAAATTACCATGCACCAAAACAGTTATGCTATGTGTCACTATTTGTTGGATTTAGCTGTACATTCTATTTGATCCTGCCCTGGCCGGTTTGGCTCAGCGGTCAGAGAGTCGGCCTGTGGTCCAGAGAGACCCTGGTTCGGTTCCCGCTAAGGGCACGTACCTCGGTTGCAGTTTGTCCCCGGCCCTGGTTGGGTGGACACGTCGATGTCTCTCTCTCTCTCTCTCTCTCTCTCTCTCTCTCTCTCTCTTCCTCTCTGTCCGAACAAAATATCGAGAGAGAAAAAATTCTATTTGATCCTCTAATTTATGCCCTCTTAGCTCAATGACTTTGGAAAAGTTACCTTCTCTGAACTTAAGTTTCCTGTCCAGCACTTTAATATGGTTTTCATGAAGACATTTTATTGAGACATTACACTTGAATATACTTGCTGGTATATGTGTACCTAATTTCCATAGATGCTTGCTTATGTAATGGGGTAAGAGATAAAGAGGCTGCCAAAATTGGGGGGGGGGGGCGGGAATTGTATCGTGAATAAAGCAACAGGATACGAAACTTCCCACCCCTCTCCCAGTGAAAATATCCAATACTCCCTAGTTCTTCCGAGAACACAGCTTGAGACCAGTGTAGTAAGTTTCTTGTCATACACCCATCTCTGAACTCATTGTCCATTAAAGAAGTGTGTATTAAGTGCTCCATAAAGCTCTGAGGACAAAATCTAAAAGTCTAAACATCTCTTTTTGCTCTTGAAAAGACTGAACTCAAGGCAAATTAAGATAGTGAAGGTCACAGATGTTGATCACAGGATAGCTAAGATCCGGTCTATTGCAAATTTCTTGCGTTATGCCTTTGGCTCACATGGTAGGAGGAGCAATACTGAAGGGTGCTGTTGGAATAACAGAACTCACTAAAAATGTTTGGCCTTCCATTTAGTAATTAGGCTCCTGCGTACCCCCCCCCCCCATCTGTGGTCTTTTCCACACCTGTCCTTTTAAGGAATGGCTGCCAGAAGATGCCTTTTTAAAGGCGTAGTTTGGCATCTGTGACAGCTTTATGCTGTTAAATTCTGTGCATAATTAGGAGGCAATTATAATTTTGCATAAAGGTCACGAGGGCCTACACAGAACTGTCCTGCAGAAATTCTATTGTGGAGTGAGAACAATTGGTGTTGAAAAATTAAATTTAAAGGTGAAATTTTGCCTGCTTATGTGATAAAATTGTTAGCTTTGCCCGCCATCTCATGGAAGGTTGGTTGTGGTATTTATTGCTCTCTTCTATATATTAACAGACCAAGATTTGCATAAATTAAACTGGCAACATTACTACTTCCATTTTCCGGGACCTATGCTGCCAGCTCGGTTTTCACCTATTATCATAGCTTTACTTTACAAATTAATTACTTGACTCCCTATTATCTCTCTCTACCCATCTACCTCTCTATCTACCTATTTGTGTATATATATTGATCAAGTCCAAGGTCTCTCTTTAGAAGAATTGACTCTTCCAAATGGCAAATTGTCTAAGCAGTCTGGTGATTTACTCAATCCAGAGCGGGTGGGGATGGTTGCCTCCTTCAGGGTTCAAACAGAGCATCAGAAACACTCACTGGAGGTGATATACGTAAAAGAGATGACTTATAACAGGGACCTCATGGTACGTGACTGCAGAGTCTGCTCACGCAGTCTTCATGAGGTTTCCGTCTTTGCTTCAAGTGCTGGAGCCTGAAGTCAGCACAGCATTCACAAAGGAGAGATGGAGGTGAAGCGGGGGAAGCAAAGATGGAATGGAATCCACAAGGGATAGTTGGAACCTGCAAGGACAGTCTGGAACCGGTGCTGATCTTTCACTGCCTCCAATCCACCAACCGTGGTGACATGAGTGTTGGGCAGGTGAAGTGGGTACTCCTTTTTATGGAGCTGCTGAAGATGAGAGAAAGACCTGATGGGGAGTTGCTGTAGCCGTGGGCCCGGCTGCTGCCTCACACTAAGTTACGCCACTAGGTAAGTACCAATGTGCCTCTGCCCCTACTTTCTGAGCATAAATCAAATAGGGCTACTACTTTACCCTTGCCTTCCAAATCTCGCTTCAAGTGCCTCTTGTTGCACAAAGGATCTCAGAGCCATGCAGGGAACTCTGGAGAAGGTTTTAGTTCAGAGTTCATTCCCCCAGAGACTGACCGGCTTCCAAAGAGCAGGAGAATAAAGAACTGGGTGGTAATCCACTTTTGCCATCGTTCTCACTGCCACACACTGGAAATTCCAAACGTGTCTTTGTTTTTGTTTGTTTGTTTGTTTGTCTGTTTTTTAGTGTGTTGATGTTGTTGCTAGTATACCTCCCACCCAATTGTGTAGGACTGCCCCAAACTTGGGCTTCTAGTTTATAACTCTGTCCTACTTATGTCCTGTTTTAAACGATGGTGTTCAGTTCAGACTCACTGGGTTCTTTTGGGACACTTAAGGACCTTACTTGACAGCAGACCTTGGTAGAGGCCACCCCAGGGCCCCAGATCCCCAGGCAGCTGTCCCTAACTTTGAATCCTGGTGAGCAGAAATGCTGGTCAATGATTTTTCATTCTAAAGTCTAATCTCATTATAAAAATTTCTCGACCTGCTCTGAAAGGGCCAGAGATAATATCCATTTTAAGGAGCATTATGGAAGAAAAGCCCCTGTCAGGGCACAGGATGTTTTATCACATCCTTCTTTACCGACAAACATCTGCAAAGAAGGGTGTGTTACACTTCACAGGGGTGTTTGGACAAGGAGGGCCAAGCACCACTTACAGAAATAACGTGTGTAAAACAAGAACATTACTTTTGAATGGGAAATGGACGTCATACACCCAACATTTGCATTAAATAAGGCTTGGAACAAAATATGTTTAAAAGCATTTTAACCTCTTGAAAAGAGCCAAAGGGAATTTTAAGCAACTCATAGATATCTAATGAGATACTTCTTCCAATGATATCACACAGTTATTGGCCAGTTTAAACAAGTCTTTATTGCAACAGGAAGTTATTCTTAAAGTTAGTTCAAACGTGTATTTTCAAATATTAGGAGTTCTTATATTCCTGGCTGGTGTCTTCTAGGAGATGTTTGTCCCAAGAGAACTTCATGGAAAGTAATCCTTTGGGAGTTCTAAGCCATGAAACTGCACAAGAATTCTAAGTACAGAGTAAACAATGTTATGTGATTAACCTCAATCCTTGCCATCCCTGTCTACACAAATAAATCAATATTAAGATATGGATTCAGAAATTGGGGACAACCCAACGTTATCGATTCTAGACAGATAAATCACCTTCCTAGGAATTTATCTAACCACCGTTTGCCCCATTTTCTTTTCTCTCTCTGTGTGAGCATACGCTGTTTTTACTTATTCGTAAAGAAAAACACATTTCTAAAAAAATGTAGCTCAACTGAAGAACTCAGTAATATACTGCTAAAGATGAAGGAAAGGTGCTAGTTTTCAGATGCTCAGAAAGGAGAAGATAGATTCAGTAGGGCTATTAATATTTTCACCAGAAATAGGAACCTTTAGAGGTCAGCCATAAGAGAAAAAAGAAAAAGAGGTATAAATATATTGCGTATATGTTCACATAGAAACAATGGATAAAGCAAGAGGAGTGAAGAAACCGAGAGGAAAAGAATGAGGGAGGAAGAATGTGTGAAAGGAAGGAAGGAAGAAAGGTACAGGAAAGAGATGAAAGGAGTTTTTTATTGTGGAAAATAAAATAAAATAAAAAAACAAAACACAAAACACACAAAAGGCAAATCTGTTGGTTAAACTGAATTTCAAACTTAAAGTCCAGCCTACTGAGGTGACATCTAGCTGGAGCAAGTATCGGGCATTCAGGATGGCAGGCACTGCACACGGTCTTGCTCTTCTTCCTCCTCGGATTCATCTGAGTCACTGGAAGACTCATCTGACTCCACCTCCACGACTCCAGCTCCAGGAGCTGCCATCTCAGCAGCCATGACCCCAGCTCCAGGACCTGCCAACTCTGCATCCAGGACCCCAGCTCCAGGACCTGCCAACTCTGCATCCATGACTCCAGCTCCAGGAGCTACCCTGAAACGGCGATGACGGGGATGAAGGGGATGACTTCTGCGTGTGAAGTGGTACATGAGGAAGGAAAGCATATGACTGTCAAACAGGTCACTGTGGCCCAAGCCCTCTCCATCTCGTTCCTGCTTGTTCTTCTTAATCACGTTCTTTAACCCAATAAGCTTGGTGGTCGCTTTAGCTGTGGGTGCCCAGATCTTGGGATCATGGTCTAGGCCACTGGTCGCCATCACAGGTAGGTAAGGATGGGGCTCAAGACAGTTTACGTTACCTGCCCTGTCCCCCTCCAAGAACTGAACGATCTGACAGGATGACTTCTCCCAGAAGAAGATGTGCCCACAATCACTTCCGCTCACCACAAACTCACTTCTGGGGCCATAGAAATTGACGCCTTTGACTATGGCATTATTTCTGTGCCCCTTATATCGCTTAACATATTGGGCTCCATCACAGTGAGAGGCGTTGAAGAGGTAAATATCTTCATCATTGTAACTGGCCAGGAGCTCTGTGCCATCGTGGCTGTACACGAGGCAGGTGATGAATGCTTGGGCATCACAGTTGACCAGGTGATGAGGACAGAATTTCTTGAGTACTCCGTTATTGTCACTCTCATCAATTTTCCTCTGGTCATAAATTCTTACAAACTGGTCTCTTCCACCCACAGCAAACTGGTAAGTATTGGCAGGATTCACAAAGATTGTATACAGCCCCACTTTCCGCTCATTCTCTCTTGTTACCACCACTTTTGAAGCAGGACGGTCTTGTCTGAGGTCAATGGCAAAGACAACTGCATCCTCACCCGAGGTTAGGAACCTAAAAGGGCAGTCTGGCTCCAGAGCCAACTTGTGGCAGGCTCCCCTATGCTGGGCCACACGCTTGGAGACCCTGCTATGTGGCAGAGCAGGTAGCTGTGCTACCCGTACCTGCCCATCACGGGCACATGTGGCCAGGGTGGAATCGCCACAGTTGGGAAGGAACTTGGCCTGAAAGACGTTATTTCTGTGACCTGTGTTAAAGGTGCGGACTGGCCGCTGATGCACCCAATCCCAAACTATCACTGTAAGGTCATCACTGCTGCTGGCCAGCCGGGTGCCACACTGGTTAAAGTGAACACTATTGACACAACCGCTATGGCCTTCAAGCCCATACTGCAGGCGGAAACGCTGCACAAAGACCCTTGCTCCACAGGCCTCATATACAAAGCGGGCACTTGAACCCAGCTGCCGATCTCGAAGTGCAGTAAGGGCATGCCAGCGAGGGGGGGGCAGGGCAGTTGTCTCTGAAGACACCCAGTCCTCCAGGGCCCGATCCTCATCTGATACATGCTGGTTAGGGTTGGTCTCACTGCCCTGTACCTGATGCTGTTCTTCTGCTGCTTCTTCCTCATCCTCCTCTCCTTCCTCTCCGAGCCCGAAGCCGCAGTAAAGGACTGTGTCTTCCGCATCGTCTTCCAGGATTTCAGAGGCGACGTTTACACCTTCTGTGTCTGCGCCTTGATTTTCTGTGCTGCCAAGGGTGGGAACACTGCCGTCCCTGGTACCGTCACCATCTCTGGTCAATATCAAGCTCACTGGAGGTTGAGCTGTCAAATTGAGATCCGGGGATGTCGCCATCCTGGCCTCAGCTTCCAACTGGTCCTCTGGGCCATCTGTGCCGTGCCCCTTGCCAGACATCTCGAGGATGCTAACTGTAGACCAGCTGTGGTGGGGAGAGTCAGCCTAGAAGCCTGGAGAAGGGAGCCTTCCAGCCCTGGATGGCAACAGGCCCGCAGAGAAGACAGTAGGCCTAAGGGCTAGACGCCATTTTGCCAAAGCCAAAGTGGGAGCGGAGATGTCCAGTTGATGTGGTTGCACTATGGGAGCTGAGGAGGTTCAAAAGGCTTCTTTCCATCTAGCCTTCCCGCGGTATTTCTGGACTGCGCAGAGTTTTCCAGGCCCAGAGTCCCGCTCCTCCCCCGCAACTCTCTCGCACTGTCAGCCTCTGTGTTTGCTGTTCTTTTGAAGATGGAAACATATTGCACTTTGGGAAACATTCTTATTAGAGAACCAGCAACAAAACCGATCCTCCTCAGGAAGAATACTTACCCTAACACTCTCAGTGCTTTGCTTGAAGATAATGTACTGTTATGAAATGCAATGAAAGATTGCTAAGGCCCACAACCTAGAGAGTTCTTGAAATACAAACAGTATCTTCAGCAAATCAAACCGCTTAAGGGAAAACCTTGAGAGCCCTAATTGGTAGAAAAGCCATAGGGTTGACAGACAAAATACACAATGCCTAGTTAATTGCATTTGAGATTTAAAAATGAATATTTTTCGGTATGAGTAGACCCCAAATACTGCATTAGACATGACTTTCACTCAAGATATTCATTATTTGCTTCTAATGCAAATTTAACTGTGCGCCCTCTATTGTTATTTGTTGTACCTGCCAGGCTTTTTTAGTGAGATGTGAACTGTACTCCACCAGTGTAATCGAGGCCGAAATAACCTGGTCAATTTCACGTAGACATTGAAATGAGTAAGTGCCTCACCAATTTTAAATACAAGCACCATTTTTTTTTCCTTTTGCCACCTGAGATTCTATGTATTTATTTGGAATTCGTTCAGTTTTAGATTCTTAGGGACCACAAACATAATGTCAAGGAAGGAAGTTCTTCTGTGTGATGTTATAAAACTATCAAAATAGTTTAAATAAATCCCCAAACTGGTAGGAGACTTGGGCGTGGGGGCTTTTCAGAAGAGAGTGCTCTTCGGAGATAGTTTATTGTGATTGCCGCGTTAACTTCAGAGCTTTTCCAAATGAATTATCCAGGGTGATGTCAGTAAATTTTCGAAGGGCTACAGTAAACTGCTGACTAAGAATGCGGAAAACAAGACTTCCCTCAGAGTAATTGCAAGATCAATGTAAAGTTGATTAAACACTGAAGTATACAGTCTTCTAAAGAGAGAGAAGGGTTCCAAGCCTAATAGCAAGGGAAAGACACGTAAAAGAATATTCATAGTGACTTGTAAAGAACAGTACAGCAACCTGAAAACCACCTGAAAGCCTATCAAGAGTAACATGGATGACCCGGAAATCAGCATAGATTTCTAAAATGGAATAATGTACAAAAGTCAGGCTCAATGAATGAAAATTAAAGACAACAATAGGAGTGAATCATGACACAATGGTGAGTAAAACCACAAATGAGACGAGAATAAGCGATAATTTCGTTTTTAGGCAGATCTTCGTAGTTTTCTCTATTACCAGGAATATTTTTTATTTTATTTTTATTTTTTTGTTAATCCTCACCCAAAGATATTTTCCCATTGATTTATTTTTTCAGATAGAGTGGAAGGGCGGGGGGGGGGGGGAGACAGAGAGAGAGAGAGAAACATTGATGTGAGAGAGACACATTCATTGGTTGCCTCCACTTGACCAAAAACGGGGCCAGGGATGGAAGCTGCAACCCAGGTACGTGCCCTTGAGTGGGAATGGAACCCACGACCCTTTGGTCCACAGGCCGACACTCTAACTGCTGAGCCAAACTGGCCAGGACCGTTATGTGGCCTTTTACTTTTTATTTCACTGTGTGTAGTGGAAGGCCTTTGGAAGCTTGTGTGCAGGGGCATGACGTTATCAGACTTCCTTTTTAAAAAGAAGACACTGGCTGCTGTGTGAAGAGTAGAATGGGGTAGGAAGAGATAGCAGAAGTACTAAACTATTGCTGTAATCCAGGTGAGAAGTTACGGTGGCTTAGACTAGGATGAGGATAGTACAGGTGGTGAAAAATGGTTAGGTTTGGAATATATTTTGAAAGTGGAAATTATAACATTTACTCATAAGTTGAATGTGAGTGTGAGGTGGATTAGTGAGGACACTTGCAAGAAATGCTTATCACGTGGGCACTTTGAAGCAGTTCATAAGTGAGATTTGTACAAAGATGAGAGAAGTCTGTAGGGACATCACAAGGGAAAGGTCAGGACTTCAGGGCTATAACAAACAGGAATATACTATCCTTCTAGGCTTAAAGGCAGGGAAGAAGGAGAGCAGTTAACAAAAGCCTGAGGTAGAAAGGGCAGTGTGGAGAGTCTGACCTGACAGGAGCTACCAGTAGTCCTCCCTCAGCAACTCATAGGAAGGGAGCCAGGGAGTCAAAGTTCCCAGATTTATTCTCCTCCCTCTGCTCTCCTGCTGGTACTTCCCACTGAGTCATGTGAAGAAGGTAGAATTTTGTATCCTGGAACTTTACTGAATGTATCTAGTTCTAACAGGTGTGTGTGTGGGGTGTGTGTAGCCTTTGCAGTTAGCCATATATATGAAAATGTCATCTGCAAGCAGTTACTTTCACTTCTCCTTTTCCAATTCGGATGCCATTTATTATTTATTTATTATTTATTTATATTTATTTATTTATTTATTTATTTATTTATGATTTTTCTTGCCTAATTCCTCTGGCTAGGAGTTCTCGTACTGCGTTGAATAGAAGCATCAAGGGAAGGCATCCTTGCCTTTTTTCCAGATCTTAGGAATAAAAGAAGAAAGAAAAGCCTTCAGTTTTTCACTGTTTAGCATGATGTTAGCTGTAGGATTGTCATATGTGGCCTTTACTATGTCCAGGTAAATTCCTTCTATACCTTGTTTGTTAAGAATTTTTATCATGAAAGGGTATTGACTTTTGTCAATATTTCTGCCATGTATTGTGATGATTGTGTGATTTTTATCCTTCATGCTATTAAAATGGTGTATCACTTTGATTTGCTTATGTTGAACCATCCTTGCATCCCAGGGACAGAGCCCAAATGGTCATGGTGTGTTGTCGTTTCAATGTGCTACTGAATTTGGATTGCTATTTTCTTTTTTTGGTTGATGACTTTTGCATGTATATTAATCAGGAATATTGGCCTGTAGGTTTCTTGTAGTGTCTTTGTCTAGCTTTGGATTCAGAGTAAATAACAATGTATTTTTCAAAAGGAAATTAAGAACACCATTCCATATACAATAGCACCAAAAACAATAAAATGCTTAAGAATACAATTAACCAAGGAATAAAAGACTTGTATAGTAGAAACTACCAAGCGTTAATGAAAGTAACTAAAGAAGACACAAATAAATGGACACACACCCGGTGTCCATGGGTTGGAACACTTAATGTTATTAAAATGTCCACACTACCCAAGGAGAGCTACAGATGCAATGCAGTTCCTATCAGAAGGGAAAATGCAGTCAAATAATCCTTTTTTAAATCTGGACTACCACTTGGTGTTATAGGCTAGTGACAATGATTCAGTAATAAAGGCAGGGGAGATAGAAGTTTTGGGGAAGAATGTGTTAAATAGGTGGAAGGTATAGCACTCAGTGCATAGGTAGAGGAATTGTAAGAGGAGGACAGACAAAATATTTAGCACAGAGGCAAGTAGCTTGCTAGAGTAGCTGGTGGAAGAATGCGCATATTCTCTTCTAACTGCTTCCACTTTCCTAGTGAAAAAAGAAGGAAGGCTATCAACTAGGAATGAGGAAGAAGGAAGCCGTGCTGGAGTTTTGAGGCAGAAGGTGTGGAATAGTCAACTCAGTGAGTGGGAGCACGAGTCCAATAGGGGAATGGAGAATTGTTACCTAGAAGCAGAGAGGGTCCACTTGTGGGTGTAAACAATAAAAGTAAAATGAGACAGCCGGGCCAGTGTGGCTGAGTGGATTGAGCGCCATCCCAACTCTCTCACTTCGACGTTCCTATCCCTCTCTCCCTTCCTCTCTCTCTAAAACGTCAATAAAAACATATTTTTAAAATGAGACAGCGTGGTTAGTTGTCTGTCTCTATTTCTGATTTGAAGACAGGAGTGGAGTAGGTAAATTCCCGGATTCAACCAAAATCCAAATTCTTTTGCTAGTTGAGGATAATGGAGAGTTTCGGGGCAAGGGAGCTTACGTTCTACATAATGAAATTTTTATAAGAAGGAACCATGAATTTAACTATAAAAAAGGGAATTAAGGACAATAGGGGAAGATAGAGGACAAATTTGATAGGGTCAGTGGATTGGAGGTCCCACTGGAGTCAACTTTTGCTGTGATCAGCAAGTGTATTCAACCAGACAGGAAGTAGTTCATTTTTGCTTCACTACCTTATGGCCTGTAAGTATATATGAAGCTTAGGAGGACAGGATGACCCAGAACACTATAATCTGTACCCAAGCTATTAAAGCAAAAGCAATTTGATTAAAAGAGTAAAGTAATTCACTCTAAGACATGGCTGACTGATAAGCTTAATTTTCCCAGAAGCTATTTCCTTAATCTAAGAGGAACTTCCTAGTCTTGGAGAGATATTTTTTTAGAAGAAACCTTCCAGAGCCACTTGAATATCTCAGGACATTACTATAACTACCTTTTTAAAAGGACTGGAGTTGGAGCCATCTGCCTTTGTCGATTAGAATGGTTTAAAACTGACTAATACAGTGGCTTTGAAACTATTACCCTGATTTTCATTTTCCCCATCCCCCAACCGCCTCCCTTTGGTAGCCATGAGCCTCTTCTCTACAGCTAATGGGTCTGTTTCTGTTTTGTTTGTTCATTTGGTCTGGTTTTTTTTTGTTTTGTTTTGTTTTGTTTGTTTGTTTTGTTTTTGTTTTTTTGGATTCCACTTGTAAGTGAAATTACACAGTATTTGTCTTTCTCTATACCTACTATAATTACTCTT